AAGCATTTAGAACAAAGTAAAATATGGGAAATATTTTCAAAATATATGATGACAGAAAGATAAACTGTTCTTACACATTGATTTAAAAAATATGGTAAAAATAATCCAAGAGGAATAAAAAGAATATATAATATATGAATAGAAAATTTAAAAAAGAAATAGAAATGATAAATGAACATATAGAGATGCCAATTCTCACTAAGGACCAGGGAAACACAAATTATAACAAGAGAATGAGATTACATATTTTACTCTATATGTTGGCAAAAATTACAAAGGATTGCTGATATCCAGGTTGGCAAGGTTGTGTGGAAGTTGGCCTTATTACTATACCTTTTTCTGGAGGACGCTTTTGTAATAATGATTTTTTTAACATAGAAGTAATATTCTCATATGAGCTTGAAAAAATATGTATAGCTATATTCATCACAATATTTTTAACAGTGAAAATTTAAAAACAATAAATATATACCAATAGAAGAATAATTCAATTATAATATATCTATGGAATGATAGGCAGAACTTAAAAAGTCCATATGTATTTATGTGAAACCATCTGCAACAAATAGCTATGAATTTAAAATAGCAAAGTTATCTTTAATATTTATACTTCTATCCAAATTATTGTAAAATAAAAAATCCCAATTATATATTGTTATATGAGTGTGTATATACATAAATACATAGAAAAATCCAGAAAGCTACATACCACATTGTCAATTGCAATTTTGAAAAAAAGTAAGTTAGATTGTTACAGAAGGAGGGTGTTCAAAGGGGATTCTTTTTCTTTTTACTGTGCATATATATTTTTAAATTATGCTTGTTAAGTAATGTATTTTTAAATAATGAGTACATATTTATGCATTAATTCAAGTTGCAGAGCAATATGTATAAACAATGATACTAGCAAGGTAAAAAAGTAATTCAGGAGTTGTGTGAAACAGAACTTTGACTTTTCCATCCATATGATCTGTAGCACTAGATTTTTTTATGTGATAAAAGTGCACTTTTGAATTAGTTGTGTAACTTTAAAAATTAAATCATTAAAAATATACAACTTTAATACAGAAGACATATTTGTTAAGTGACAAAGCAAAAACGAACTGCAGAACAATACTTGCAGTAAGGTCCCCCAAAGTAAAAGGTCTAGAAGTTTACGTACCAGATACCAGATACATTTGTGTACTACTAATATAATTGTCCAAAAGAAAAAAAATAGCAAAAGAAAATCATCCTTGTACCCATTTAGAAACTAGTGTTCAGTCACCGGATGGCAGCGGTCAGCATCATAGGTGTTACAGTAACCAGGGGGGATTCCGAGCACCCAGCTTTGTCCAAGTTGACTCTGGGCCCTAGTCAGCTGATGGGCACAGGATCGGGACCTGGGCCAAGCTAAGACAACTACCCGATGTCTTTGTTCATCCTGCTCTAACAGAATATCATCAGCTGGCTGGAATAAATAACGAATGGTTATTTCTCTCAGTTTGGAGGCCGGGAAGTCCAAGATCAAGGTGCCCCCAAATCCAGTGTCTGCTGAGGTCCTCCTTCCACAGAGGCAGAAGGCAAACTCTCTAGTGTCTGTTCTTGTAAGGGTACTAACCCCATATGAGGGCTCCACCCTCATGAGCTAATCATCTCCCAAAGGCTGCATCTCCATATACTATCACATTGGGGTTTAGAGTTTCAACATGTGAATTTGGGGAAGAGGACGCAAACATTCAGAGCATGGAATCTAATAAATGGGAGTGACAAGAATCCATTCATCCCCGCGGCTGGACCTGTACTCATATGCCTCTTCCTGAGGCTTGACACTGTGTGCCTCATCTGTCTTCTTCCACCCTGCGGACTAAGGCGCAGAGAAAACGGGCGGCCAGGGAGGAAGCATGAATCAAGTGACAGAGAGAAGCTGAAAGGAGGTTTCTGGGAAAGAAAAGGACTTCCTAGATTTTCCTAAATCTTTGTAATTCTGGATTCTAAACTTCCTGGTTCTCAATTGCATTTGTGCTCTTGGGTTGAGGCCTTCTCTAACCTACTGTAAATTTCTCCCCCTCACTGCCGCTTACAACCGAAAGACAAGGTCAGTTTCTCCTAGTCTGACCATGAGACACGTTCCAGTAAACTGGGTTTGTCAGACTTAATGGTCCCTGCGCTGTATCCATCCTCTGGAGATGTAATCTGCTATTTGATACTATTTCAAAGTTAAAATAATGGAATTATGGGTATATTTAAAATGAATAATGTCCATGTGCAGACTGCTTTCTGGTTCTCATATGCCAAAGTAGCAAACAATGTTTAAAATTTCACACTATGTTCTTCCTGGAAATTAAGTGCCAAAGTATAGGGCAACACTCCCCCCCCCCGAATTCTCTTTCAGAAGTTAGTGGTTTTAGGATTTATTCCATACAAGAGCTCTCAATTACCCTATTAGATACACAAAAATGTGTTTGGTGAGGGCTAATTAGTCTGAACCATCCTCAGTCAATTTTGGATGCTTATAGAAATCACCTGATAAAATTGGTAAAAAGTTCATAAGAAAATTTAACATTTTTTTAGACATTTTTTGAGGGGTGGAGTATGACTTCACAACTGTGTCTTAGATTAGTAATGGACAAGACAAAAAAAAAATCACTTTAACGGGAAGTATGTGGTTAGTTTGGAGACTATCACAAATCTACTACATTCAAAACAAATTTAAATTTAAAGAAATTTAAAGAACAGTTGATGACATGGAGAGAGTTAAAAAATAGCGGATACAAAACATTTTATAATCTGATCCAAATCTGGTTTTTAAAAAATTGTAAAAAAAACAATATACAAAAAGATCATATACAAATATTAGTGTTTTTCATCTTAGTTTAATTCTTTTTTGATCAACTCTTAATTTTTTTAAAGAAAACATGCCTTACTTCTGTAATCAGAAGTTAGTTGTGAAATATTAACATAAAAATTTTGAAAATGTGATTTCCAGGGAGATTTCTGCATCCTGGACACATGGGATTAATGTGCAACTTTTGTACAACATTAAATATGTTTTTATTTATAAATTATGAATAAAACATTGGAAGTTATTCATTTTTACATTCTGTTAGATATTTCTGTTACCATGAGAATATTTGGGTTAATAGTCATGTTATAGAAAAATAATCTGTATTTAATCCATATGTATGTAAAATTTATTTTTTAAATAAGATTGATGTATAATGTTTAAAATATTTTGGTCTATTTTTCAATTTTATAGAGCACAAAGTATTATTATTAAAATTGAGTAATTACTGGTATTTTCAAAAGTTATGGCATATGAAGTGAATGCTTCATAACTTAATTGGTTAGCAATTTTTTTGTATTTGTATTTCTAATGTAATTATGTTTTTCATAATAAACCACATAGTTTATTGGTACTGAATTCAGATTAAAGTGGTTTAAAAATTAAGTAGAACAAATTTGAAGGGAAACCATATGGTGCTAAAATCAAATTTGATTTTCAAAATTGGTTTAAGGTTAAGATGTGTTTTGTTGTTTTGAGAGACAGAGAAAAAAGATTGACCCATGAGTACTGGATCCACTCTGTCCTCTCCACAAGGTCGGGAACAGCGTGGCGAGGCGCCGAGCAGGTGCTCAATAAAGGTTGTGCAATGAGGAGCCCGCAAGGCCTGTAGGCTGCAGCGATCACCCTGCCCAGCTTCTGACCCCGTGTCTATGTTCGTGTTACCCCCTCTGCCTGCAATACCTTCCCCCTCCCTCTTCCTCCTCCAAGGCACCTCTGTCTCTCCAATCCCAAAGAATACTTTTCGCTTCCAGGAAGCTTCCTTGCTCTGGAGGCTCCCTCCTCTGAAACTCTGTGTTTACCTTTTCCCTGATGCTTAAGTTGTGTGATATTTTTCATACAGATATTTCAAAGCCTCAGGGCACTGTGGTCACGGAGGGGAACACAATATGAAATCTTGCTCCTTTTATGCCTGGAGTGTCAGGAGAGCGTGTCCCATGTGCTCTGGGTGCATGACAAGTTGATGGGGCTGTTTTGACGGTCATTTTGATGCATCCATTTTGAGGCAGCCGTTTTGGACTGGGACATTTTGATGAAATATTTGGATGAAGGTTTATCTATATTCTGTTTTTCCTTTTTAACCATTTGTATCACTAGATAGTGGTAAAGAATAAACTACTTCACCCCTTCCCTTGGAAAAATTCACCCCACTTTCCCCCTCTACTGATGGAAGGTGGCCGAAGGTGGGAGGGGCCTGAGGCAGGAGAACTGGGCTGGAACCTCTGGCAGAAGCACGGCCACAAAACCTTCTGTTTCCTGTGCTCATTCATCTCAGAAAAGGCCATCAATCACGCCAAGCAATGCATCTGCTCCCCTCTGAGAATTTACTTGCGTCTTGAATGAGCAGCATAAAATGTCCTCAGCTCTCCCTTGAAGTTAGATACACCAGGGAGGAGAATACCCAATCTTTGTTCTTAGGACTAGAAAGCGCAGTAATGCTCAATCACATTTCTGACATCTCTCCTTCATGTCAATAATATCAATAAAGTATAGTTTTTATTTTAAAACTTTATTATTAATGATGCATTTGAGGGGCAGTGCTAATTATTTCCTTAGCAGTTAACCTGGTTACATCAAATTATGGGGGGAAGTCATTTTTTTTCACCTATAAAATACAAACCCATAACATTCAAACCCTACTCAATTAAGTGGAAAATGGAAACCTTTTATACTCTTGGTGTGCCTAGAGTGCAGCAAGGCAAGGTTTGGAGATGTGAGAGTCGCTGTTTGGGGAAACACAACAAGACAAAAGAATGATTCCAGTTTTCACGGCGCCATCAAAATGTCCCTCACATCAAAACGACCAACCATTACACTGAATTGACATGTCCAGCTTCATAAACAGTCCCCATGAAGTATCTAGGCTACGCTTCTCTTGCTTCACTCCACCCATCACCCTATTCCTGAGACACCTCTTTCCTTTGTCATAGTCCTTGGCTTCTGAACATACCGGAGGATGTCTCAGGGTGGCCATAACCCAGATGACAGCAACAGTGTCCACGCTGAGTTGACTACCTGTCAGGGCTCCCAACTCCATCACTTTCAAGAAGCTGTGGTAAGTTTTAGGTCACCTTTTGTCATGGAAAGTGCCTAAGGAGTACTCTGTGTGCTCCACTCTCCTCCCTTTGTCTGGTGCAGCCCTTTGGAAGAGCAGCTTCTGCAGCAAGTAGTACAGATAATCAGTACGATGGGAGGGGTGGCTCTGGAGCTCACGGCCAGAATTGCATCCTGGCTAAGACACTTGGGGCTGTGTGATCTAAGTTTAATTACTTAAGCTTTCTGTGCTTCAGTTTCCTCCTTTGTGAAAAGGAAATGGGAGTTAGAGTGCCTACTTGGGACCACCAAATACAGCCTGCCTTAGTGTGTAGTTGTTGGGATGAGCTCTTTTGAAAACATGAGCTAATTAAGGACACACAAAGTCCCTAGGACAGAGTCTAGACTTGAGCAAAGATGTGATAAATGTTAACTGTTACTTAAAAAGGAATAAAGAAAAAGCTAGTGGCCAGAGACAAGACTGCAGGTGTCCCAGTTCTTACCTACTCCATTTGTTGTGCACCTGTGCACAATACACGATCCTTGCAGGCTCCTTATATAAACTCATATAACTAGACATTAGGACATATCCAGGTGTGATGCTCTTCTAGACTCAGCCAGGACCATCTTGCTACATTATGCAGTTTAGTTTTACTCCGCCCCTGCTGACCATTGAAATCAGGAACCTATCTTTGCCACCCATGTTTCCCCAGCCCTGGATGGCAATGGACATAGCACTTTTGACAAGTCGTGAGGGAATGATTGATGGGTGGGGGCGGTGCTCATACTGAAGCCGCGAGAGCTGCCTCAAAAGATGTCATTCAAGAGGCTCCGTTCTTAAATTATATTTAAATGAATTATTTTACAAAATTGTACCGAATTTAGAGTAGAATAAAATAAAACATACAAGCAGGGAACCTTCTTTTAAATGGGAAATTGAAAGTAACAATATAAGGAAGATAAAGGATAAAATGCACATTTTCCATGGAAAGAATGAACACCAAATGAATACTTTTTCTTCTATAGAGTTTTGTTTCAGTATCATTATCTTACTACTTAGAAGATATGATGACTTATGGCCTTAAAATGAAACAGTATATCATTAAAGGCTCATTTTCATGAAGATATTTTCTTCTAATTAAATTCAATACCATCTAGTGAAAGAATAGCTTATTCAACACTATACATAGAAATGCTTTTCCATGTAATAGAGAACTCAAGTAAAGAGTTCATGTTTTACTGTGAATCAAGGAAAAACACACTCAGGTTTTATGGGCTTTCTTTGGGCAAGCATGTTCTCTTAAATGAACAGTTTGGACCTTACTTCACCAGTGGAAAAGAAGCCTAAAACAGATTAACCTATTGTTGCTCATGATAAAACATGACCAGGGGGATGAAACCAGTTTTCACTGAAAATGCCATGATAGGGACCACTATTCTTTTAATCAGGGGTCCTGAAGCTCTCCCAGGCAAAATCGAGCAAATAGATAACAAAAACAAATAGGAAAAAAGGGAAACGTTAGACACATTTACATTATTGATGATAGACGTCACCATATTCTAGGAGTTTCTGTAATTTATTCAGCAAATGTTTAGGAAAGCCCTGGATTATGTCAAGCATGAGCTAAACCCTGGAAATGCAAAGATGATGGAGAAAACACACAGGTGCTGCTTTCAAGCGAATCACAGTCTAGTAATTTTGGCACATTTCTCCTAGAAATGTGGTCCAATAAGAAGCCTAAAGGGAAACACCTGTATGCATAGATACACGCAGCTCTGTTTATTCACTACGGAAACATATTTGTTAGCGGATGATTTAGTGAAAAATAACATAGTGAGAAAAAGTACATACATAATTTATAGTTTTCCTCCAGAAAGCTTTTATCCTGAATTCATACCTGAGAGTGACTAAGTCTACAAATAGTGATGGAGGAGTGTGAACAGTAGCAATAATCAAAAACAATAGTTAAAAAGAGTGAAGCAAGCCTTGTTAACCAAACTAATTCTTTACATTTTTCAAGGCTCTTTAAAAATTATCTCAATTTTAAGATGATTGAGACATGGAGACAAAGATAGGCGTATAAAAACATACAGAGAAAAGATTCAAACAGAAATCACACCTAGTGCCCAGATACTGGTTTTGAATATCAATTCTCAAAAAAAAAAAAAAAAAAAAAAAAAGAGGGACCCAGAGCACTTTGGTGAAATGGCTGGGGCAGGGTCTACACAAGATAATCGTGCAGCGCATCTTGCATGGCAGAAAGCAAGGAAGTCTTTCAAAAATAGAATGATGGGCGTGTAAAATGGATGCAGAAGCCAAACTGAAGGGGCTCTCATAGCTACACCTGGAACAGTTTCAGCATTAGAATCAAAAACATAGTGTTGACTTATAACCCAAAGTATAAAATAAATATCTGGGTTCCTATTATACAAATAAATGACTGATAAATTAACTGATGGAAGAGAAGAGAAAACATTAGATACATAAGAATTCCAAATAATTTATGTGCATAATCTCCACTTACGGAGGTGAAAATAACTCCCTACCTGGTAAGTGTGGGCTTTGCATAGTCACTTCCTTCCAAGGAGTACTGTATACAAGGAGAAGGAGCGTAAGCGACAGTGAAGAAACACGGCAAACATCGCCTCGGCCCGGGATCAAGGTTACCATCAACAGTGATAAGTGAATGTGAGTAGCATGAACCCTTAATGTGATGCGATGAGAATGCACTTTCCCTCGAAGGTTTTTGTCTCAGAAAAACCATAACCTCATTCGAATCGTGAGAAAAGCATCAGACAAACCCAAATTGAGGAACAGTTAACAAAATACCTGAGCAGTACTTTTCAAAATTATCGGTCTTCAAAAACAAGGGAAATCTGAGGAATTATCAAAGCCAGGAGAAGCATGGAGACATGACTAAATGTAATATCATGTCCTGGATGTGATGCTGGAAGAGAAAAAAGACATTAAGTGAAAAACAAAGAAAATTTGAATAAAGTATGGACTTTAGTTAACAATAAATGTAACTCCTCCTTTTTTTTAGTTCTGACAAATACCATTGTATGTATGTAATACCATACATAGTAATGTAAGATATTAATGAAGGAAGCTTAGTACAAGGTACATAAGAACTGCTTTTGTCTTATATTTGCAACTTTTCTATGAATCCAAAACTAATCTAAAATTTAAAACTTAAAAATAAATAAAAATCAAATATCTAAAGTAAGGGGTTGACATAACTATTTTCAATAAATAATAATAGCACCGTAAGTGCTAGAATAAATAAAAATTGGCATTATACTAGACTGTATAATGAGCTTTAGTTTAGTGTATGTCGCAAACATTGTGCAGACTGAACAATAACACAGAACCCTAATGCACTGCCTTGTACCTTCGTACCCCATTCGGACCTTAATTTCTCTGCTTCCTCCCACCTCCTGATTTCAACGACTTTAGGAACTTTGAAAACTCTTCCAGCCATATAGCTGCCAAACGGCTGTATTTTTATTTAAAATACACTTTTATGTTATGAATAATTTTCTCTGATTATTGTGTTTTTCCCCATTTTATCACGTGATTAGCTACTCTTGTACAGTATAGAAACAGTGTTGGAGGTCAAAACAACCCTGATAATACCTAGTGAGGTCACTTTTTTTGCAACTTGAAATAGGCATGTTAGAAAGTTCCAATTTATGTAAAAAATTTCAAATAATGTTAATTCTTCGAAGTAATCGCTGAAGAATCATGTATTTTGAAAGCTGATGAATCAAGTACATTTAAAACTATGTTTACACTGTTACCACATGGTGGCGCCACATCAGCTGGTGAATTGTAAATCCTTGACAAACCTCAGATTGACTTCTGAATTAATATTGTATATGACTTCATCAGGAACACAGCCTATATCCTAATTCTATCTTACATTTTTCAAATGAGGTAACTGCAGTCTGGAAGGTAAATTATTTCCCCAAGTCCACACAGCTGGGAATAGAATATAATGTACTTTCTGTCATTTTGTTCTGTGCTCTATCTATATTTACTTATGAATTAATTTCTACAAGAAAACCTTATGAGGGAGAATGGATCTCTTAATGTCAGTTTAAGTTTCATGCATATAAATAAATGTCCAAGATATATTATTAAAATCTTGACCAAATACAATGATCCTTTTTTAAGTCCCTGAAAGTGTCTGTATATGGTTTTTCCTCAGCAAATTTTTGCTGATGTAAATAGGAGCCATTAAAAGAATGCATTAGACTTATACAAGTTGACTTGGAGGGATTTCTATTGTTAAGTTAAAATACAAAAAGTAAAAAAAAATTATGTCAGCATAATCTGATGTTTATAATAAAGCAAATAATGACAAAAATGTAAATACCCTGTATACTATGAATACAAGTGTACATTTTTATAAATATATGTCTGGATAGAATTATTTGAATACAATGAAAAATATAAATGATAAAGTGTTCAACATGAGTTTTTTAAAAATTGAAGTCCAGGGGTGGGCAAGAGTAGGTTTACATTTGTTCATATGTAAAAAAACATGCAGGTTATGATTATTATAATAGTTACATGAATGCAAAAAGAATGTCACAATGTAAATCTATTTCTCCCACCCTTGTATAACTGACATATAACTATGTAAGTTTAATGTAAACAACATGTTGATTTGTATACATTTATACATTGCAATATGATCACCACAATCATGTTAGCTAATACTTCTATCACATTACATAATTATCTTTTTAATTTAAATTCTATTTTAAATTACAGTTTACATTCAATATTATTTTGTATTAGTTTTATATATACGACGTAGTGGTTAGACAATCATATACTTTGAAAAGTGTTTACCCAGATATTTCCAGTACTCAGTACCTTACGTAGTGATTACTATCCTTTTTTCTTTTTTTTTTAAATGAATTACCTTTGCAGGTGTTCACATGAGGGGGGAAGTAGAAGAGAATGAGGATAAAACTAAACAAGAACAGAAAAAAATTATGCACACATGACAT